ATAATATATAATATATAATATATATATAATATATATTTATATAATATATATATATATATTTTATATAAATGCATATATATAATATGTATATATGTAGATGTATATATGTATATTTATATATATATATAGATATATATATAGGCAAATATATAGACATATATATTTATAGGTTTATTTATGTAAGACTATAGATATATAGGCATAGATATATATATATATAAGCGTATATGTATAGACATATGTATATAGACATATACATATATATATATGCAAATATACGACATGAACAAAATACGCGGTGCACTGTAGCGCTAAGCATCAGGGAAAGAGGCAAGACGACGAGATCTTCTGCTGCTGTTGCTGCTGCTGCTGCTGCTGTTGCTGCTGCTGCTGCTTTGTTAACATAGGCGGCCCAACGGATACGTTTTTTCTCTTTGGGGAGTTCATTGACTCGCTGAGGAGACAGCACCAGAGACATCTCTCGCGGTGTCTGTACACCATACCTTATCAATTTCCTTGCGCCTATAGAAAGGTGCTGCTGCTCGGTAGGCCTTCTCCTAAACGCATGCAGCAGCTGCTGCAGTAGGAGCTGCTGCTGCTGCTGCGTGTCTGTGTCTGCTTCCGCCTGCTGCTGGTCCTTCTTTGTGTTTCCTGCTGCTTTATCTTTGTATGGTTGTTGCTTCGTGTGGTGCTACTGCTGCTGCTTCATGTGCTGCTGTTACTTCTTTTGCTGCTGCTGCTTGTGCTGCTGCTGCTTGTGCTGCTGCTGCTCCTTTTGCTGTTGCTGCTGGTGGTTCTTGCTCTTGCTTTTTGATGTGCTGCTGCGGTTTTTCTGCTGCTGCCGCTTTCTGTTCTGTTCCCACCGCCGCTTCTACTGCTGCTGCTGCTGCTGCTGCTGCTGTTGCTGCTGCTGCAGGTAGCGGGGGATTGAGTATAGGGCAGGCTGGGGAGTTTGACTACTCCGGGTCTCAGGCAATAAAAGCTTTGAAGGAGCACAATGTCTTTGTTGTGCTCGTCAACCCAAACATTGCTACTGTGCAGACATCCAAGCAAATGGCCCATAAGGTGCTGCTCATGCTAACCCACACGCTCCTGCTGCTCGTGCTGCTGCTGCTGCTGCTGCTGCTGCTGCTTTTGCTGCTGCTCCTGCTGTTTGTTCTGGTGTTTGTGCTGCTCGTGCTGTTTTTGCTGCTGCTTGTGCTGATCCTGCTGCTTGTGCTGCTCCTGCGGTTTTTGCTGCTGTTTGTGCTGCTCCTGCTGGTTTTGCTGGTGGTGCTGCTGCTGGTGCTGCTCAGGTCACTGCTGCTCAACTTGCTGCTGCTGCTCATGCTTCAGCTGCTGGTTTTGCTGCTGTTTGTGCTGTTTTTGGTTCTGCCGCTCTTGCTGCTGCTGATGTGGCTAGTGCTGCTGCTGCTTTTGTTTATGCTCCCTTAGGGGCTTCGGCTCCTCGTCCTGCTGCTGCTGTTGCTGCTGCTCTATCTGGGGCTTCTGCTGCTCGTGTTGTTGCCATTGTTGCTCCCTCTTTTGCTGCTTGCTGTGCTGCACTGGCTCCTGCTGCTTCATGGAGGTGCTGCTGCAGCTACTGCCAATTGCTGCTGCTGCTGCTGTTGCTGCTGTTTGCTGCTGCAGGTCTATTTCTTACCGGTAACGCCGCAGTTTGTGTCGGAGGTGATTGATAAGGAAAGGCCTCAAGGCGTTCTCTGCTCCTTCGGTGGACAGGTCAGCACTTCTGCTGGTGTTGCTGCTGCTGCTGCTGCTGCCTCTGCAGTAGCTGCTGCTGCTTGCGCTGTTACTGCTGCTGATTGCTCTGCCGCTGCTTCTGGAGGCACTCCTGTTGCAACTACCGCTGCAGCCATACTCATTCCTGGTGCTCGTCAACATGCTGCTGCTTTTGCTGCTGCTGCTTTTGCTGCTTTTGCTGCTGCTGCTGCTGCTGCTGCAGACAGCGCTGAACTGTGTGGTTGAGCTGCACCGCACCGGGGTATTGAAGAAGTACGACTGCCAGGTCCTCGGCACGCCAATAGAGGTGGGTTTTAGCTGCTGCTTCTGTTGCTGCTGCTGCTTCTGTTGCTGCTTTTGCTGCTGTTGCTTTTGCTGCTGCTGCTGCTGCTGCTTATGGAGGGTGTGCGTTGGGGCCTGGGACAGAGAAGCTGCAGCAGCCCTTCTGTGAACAGCAGCAGCAGAAGTTGCTGCGTTCATCTAAGCAACAGCAGCATCAGCAGCAGCAGCAGCACCTTAGCCAGGTGCACGAACAGCAGCAACAGCAGCAGCAGCAGCAGCAGGAAGTGCGCTGCTTGTGTGCTGCAGACAATCATATCAACTGAAGACCGCGAGCTATTTGCAAAGAAGCTGAAGGAGATAGGAGAGGAGGTGGCGCCCTCAGCAGCAGCAACAAATGCAGAGGAGGCTGCTGCTGCAGCAGCAGCAATCGGATATCCAGTTTTGCTGCGCGCGGCATTTGCGCTGGGTGACTCTCCTTTGCTGCTGCTGCTGCTGCTATCGGTGCTGCTGCTGCAGCTGTTGCTGCAGTTGTTGCTGCAGCTACTGCAGCTGTTGGTGCTGCTGCTGCTGAACTGCTGGTGCTGACGCGCTGTTGTGCGCGTCCCTGTTGTGTGGTCCATAGTGAGTGCTTCTCTTCTTAAGGGTTTAGGGTTTAGGGTTTAGGGTTTAATTACAGGGGTTAGGGTTTAGGGTTTGTGTGCTTAGGAGGCCTTGGGTCAGGATTTGCAGAAGATGAGGCCTCTCTGCGTCGTCTCTGTGCGGATGCTTTCGCGCATTCTTCACAGGTAAGAGGGTTTAGGGTTTAGGGTTTAGGGTTTAGGGTTTGGCTTTTAGGGTTGAGGGTTAAGGGTTTCAAGCGGTTTAGGGTTTACGGTTTATTGAATGGGGTTTATGGTTTAGTGAGTGGGCTTTAAAGTTTAAGGCTTAGGCTGGCGGTTTAGGGTTTAGGGTTTAGGGTTTAGGGTTTAGGGTTTAGGTGTTTGATTCAGGTGTTTATAGACAGAAGTTTGAAGGGCTGGAAGGAAGTGGAGTACGAAGTTGTGAGAGACGCAAAAGACAACTGCGTCGCCATCTGCAACATGGAGAACCTCGACCCTCTAGGTCCTGCTGCTGCTGCTGCTGCTGTTGCTGCTGCTGCTGCTGCTGCTGTTGCTGCTGCTGTTGCTGCTGCTGCTGCTGTTACTGCTGTTTTGTTGTGCTGTTGTTGTTGCTGTTTGTGCTGTTTTGTAGCTGTTACTGCTGCTTTGTTGCTGTTGCTGCTGCTGTTGTTGCTGCTCGTGCTGTGCTGCTGCTTTTGCTGAGGGATGGATTGCTGCTGCTGCTCGCTGCCTTGGTGCTGCTGCTGCTCGCTTGGTGCTGCTGCTGCTACGCGGCGGTCGTGCGCAGTGAAAGGCAGCTGCTTTCAGGAGTATCTGAGGGCTGTAGAGTTTAGGGTTTAGGGTTTAGGGTTTAGGGTTTAGGCTTGAGTAGGTTGGGGGGAGGAGGCAAACAGAGACACCGAAAGAGACATAGAGAGACAGAAGGAGACACAGAGACAGAGACAGAAAAGTAATAGAAAAGGAGACAAACAAAAAAGCAGAAAGGGACAGACAAAGACAAAGACAGAAAGACAGAGACAGTAGGAAGGACAAAAGGAGACAGTTGGGAAGGCGTTGTTCTCTGTCTCCTCTTCTCGCCTTGCAGGCATCCACACCGGAGACTCCATCGTTGTCGCTCCCTCTCAGGTGTCTGTACACCCCAACTCCACCTGCTGCTGCTGTTGCTGCTACTCAGTCTGCTGCTTCTGCTTCTCAGCAGCAGCAGCAGCAGCAGCAGCAGATTGTGTTTCGTTTGTTCGTAGCGGCTCTGATGTTTGTATTCTTTGTGGTGTCTCCTTCGTTTTTTTGGTTGTCTCCTTCTTCTTTCTTCTCTAATTTGACTGTCACCTACTCTGTTGCTGCTGTCTCTTTCTCTGTTGCTACTGTCTCCTTCTATGTTGCTGCTGTCTCCTTCTCTGTTGCTGCTGTCTCCTCCTCCGTTGCTACTGTCTCCTCTGTCGCTGCTGTCTCCCATTCTGTTGCTAGTAATGTTTTTTTCTGTTTTCTTTTGTCTCCTTTTCTGTCTGTCTCTTCATTTTAATTTGGTCTCTGTTGTTTCTTGCGTTGTCTCCGCCTGTGCTCTATCTGTCTCTATTTGTCTCCTTTTTCTTCTGTCTGTCTCTTCATCCCTCTCTCTGTCTCTGTCTCTTATTGCATTTCATTATATATCTTTTTCTTTGCTGTCTCTTTTTGTCTCTTTTTCTCCTCTGTCTCCTTTTGCTTCTTATTACACTTTATTATATCTTTTTCTGTCTCCTTTTGTCTTTTATTACACTTTATTAAATATCTTTTTCTTTGCTGTCTCCTTTTGTCTCCTTCAGACTCTGAGCAACGAGGAGTACTACCGTTTGCGAGAGTGCGCGTTAAAAGTAATTCGTCATTTGGGTATTGTTGGCGAGTGCAACATTCAATATGCCTTAGACCCCAACTCGAATAAATATTATATTGTAGAGGTTAGCATCACTAGGGTTTAGGGTTAAGGGTTTAGGGTTTACGGTTTGGGGATTAGGGTTTAGGGTTTTGGGGTTAGGGTTTAGGGCTTAGGGTTTAGGGTTTAATGTTTGGGATTTAGGGGGTTAAATAAGGGATTCTTCTGACGTTGTTTACGTCGCACATTAGGAATTAGGGTTTAGGGTTTAGGGTTTAGGGTTTAGGGTTTGAAGCTGAGGGTCTTGGGTTCGCGACGATGAGCACTTGTAGACGTTCACACTTCTGCGTGGTTGATGTAGCAGCAGCAGCTGCTGCTGCAACTGCTGCTGCTGCTGCTGGATTTGCTGCTGGTGTTTGACGCATGCGTTGTTTTCTTATTCTACTGTTTTAGCAGCAGCAGCACATGATGTCGCTGCTACTGCTTCGAAAGCTGCTGCATCTGTTGCTAGTGTTGTTGTTGCTGCTGCTGCTGCTAATGTTGTTGTTGTTGTTGCTGCTGCTGCTGCTGCTGTTTAGGTAAATGCGCGGCTGTCGCGCAGCAGCGCTTTGGCTTCAAAGGCGTCGGGATACCCGTTGGCGTACATCGCAGCGAAGTTGGCGTTGGGTATGTTTTGGGGCTTTGTTTGCATGCGGCACGTCTTTACTAATCTGTATATATATCTTTATTTATTTATTTATTTAGAGGGAGACAGAAAGGATTTGCTGTTCGGGTGTATGGTGATTGCAGTTTCTGTCGTTTGTTCGGAGTGGCTGCAGCGAGCGGTTGTTTTGTTTTGTTTTGTTTTGTTTTTTTGTTTAATTGTTTTTGTTTTATTCTTTTTTATAGAGGGCAAAGTGTCTCCTTTGGTGCCGCTGCTACCACTGCTGCTGCTGCTGCTGCTGCTGCTGCTTCAGGTTTGGATTTGCTGCAGCTTAGCAACGAAGTAACGAAGGAGACATCTGCTTGCTTTGAACCCGCCTTTGACTACGTGGTCACGAAAGTGCCCAGGCAAGCAGTGAAAAGGAGACAGTTTGGAGACAGTTGAAACCCCACAAACAACATAACAAACCACCATAAACCCTAAACCCTAAACCCTAAACAAGAGAAACACATAACGAAACAGAGACCGGAGAACAAGTATTAAATACAATCTTCTGTCGAAACAGCGCAGGCGCAGGCCCCGCAGCCAGATCTTATGGGGACAGGGCTGAGGGCCTAGGGTTTAGGGTTTAGGGTTTAGGGTTTAGGGTTTAGGGTTTAGGGTTTGGGGTTTATAGGTGGGACATGAAGAAATTCGATGAGGCGGATCCGTTTATGGGGTCGGCTATGAAAAGTGTAGGCGAGGTGATGGCGATTGGCCGCACGTTTGAGGAGTCTCTTCAGAAGGCTTTAAGGTTAGCCCCCCTAAACCCTAAACCCTGAACCCTTCTAAACCCTAAACCATTCTAAACCCTAAGCCATTCTAAACCCTAAACCCTTCTAAACCCTTTACCATAAACCCTGCTAAACCATAAACCCTGCTAAACCCTAAACCCTGCTAAACGCTAAACCCTTCTTAACCCTACCCCTGCTGAACGATAGGGCCTGCTAAGCCTTAAATCCCGATGAAGCCTGAACCCTACTAAACCCTACGAAACCCTAATAAAGTCTGTTAAACCCTAGTAAACCCCAACGATATGCTGCACAGTTTGCTGTCTCCTTAAATATATGCTGTCTCTGCTGCGTTTTCTTCGTTTGCAGGATGGTCAAGGGCGAGGCCAACGGCTTCGATGAACGGATGTACCCCCAACTGTCTCCGCGTGTCAGTTGACTCTTCTTCTGTCTCCTTTCTCTCTTCATCTGTCTCCTTTCTCTCTTCTTCTGTCTCCTTTCTCTCTTCTTCTGTCTCTCTCCTTCCTTCTTCTGTCTCTCTTCTCCTTCTTCTGTCTCTCTTCTCCTTCTTCTGTCTCTTCTTTCTTCTTCTGTCTCCTTTCTTCCTTCTCCTGTCTGTTGGTTTTTGTGTCTCTGTTGCGTCTTCTAGCTCTGCTGCTCCTTCTGGCTCTCCTGCTTCTTCTGTCTCTCTCGCCTTTTTCTAGCTAGCTATCTAGTCAACTAGCTAGCTAGCTAATTAGCTAGCTAGCTAAGTGGGGCTAAGACAGTGGGGTGTTGCGGTGCAGGGGGGAGACGATCCCACGTTGGCGCGGGAGCGACTGGAGGAGGAGTTGGCGAGGCCGTCTGCTGCTCGGTTTGTCTCCTGCTTGATCTTTTTATATTTCTTTTTCTGTCTCCTTTTGTCTTTTTGTCTGTCTTTCTTCTATTTGATTTATATTCTTTGTTCTGCTTCTTGTCTCCTCCTTTATCTTTGTTTTTCTTTTTGTCTCTGTTTGTCTGTCTGTCTCTTCGGCTGTCTCTTCTCTCATTTAGCTTCTTTGTTTGTTCTTGTCTTTCTGTCTCCTTGTCTTGTCTCTTAACTTCTCTTCCCACTATAATTAGCAGCCTTGTTTTTAATTTACTGTACATAACTCAAAACTTCATTTATATTATATTATTAAACATATGGTTTTGCTGTCTCTTCTTTTTATTTCTTCTGGCTGTCCGCTGTTTTAATTCTTTTCTTTCTTTTGCTTTTTGTTTTGTTTGTTCAAGACAAGCAAAAGGTTTTGTCTTACTTTCTGTCTGTCTCTTCCTTTCTGTCTCCTCTCCTTTTTTTGTTGTTTGTCTCTCTGGTTGTCTCTTCTTTTATTTGTCTCTCTCTGTCTGTCTGTGGCTGTCTGTCTCCTTATCTGTCTCTGTCTCTGTCTGGCTCTGGTTGTAACTTTCTTTCTTCTCCCTTCTCTGTCTCCCCTTTTTCTCATATATATATATATATATATATATATATATATGTATATATACACATATATATATGTATATATGTGTATATATACATATATATATATGTATATATATGTATATATATATGTATATATATATATATTTGTATATATATATATACTTTCTTACTTTCTTTTTCCTGTACCTCTTCTGTCCCTGTGCTGCTTCTGCTGCTGTTGCTGCTGCTGCTATTGCTGCTGCAGCATTTGGGCCTTGGCTGAGGCCCTGGCGCAGGGGTATTCTGTGGAGCGGCTGCATGCACTGACCCGCATCGACCGTTGGTTTATTGCCAAGTTGCAGCACATACACCAGATTAAGCAGCAGCTTTCATCGAGGTCTCTAACTCAACTCACGCGTGCAGATCTTATCTTCGTTAAAAAATACGGTATTACCCCCACAACGCCCAGCTAGCTATAGCTAGCTATAGCTAGCTATTGCTGGATAGCTAGCTATCGCTAACTAACGAGTTACAGCTAGCCGCACCTACACACCCAACTTCGCTAGCTTGCAAGCCTAGCTGCAGCTAGCCGCACATACCCGTCTAAGGTCGTACCTACCGTTTATATATATATATATATATATATATATATATATATATATATTTATACACCTCTCTCAGATTTGATTATGCATGATTGCATTTGTTTAACGTGTTTGTTTGTAATTAATAGGGTTCAGCGACCGACAGATAGCAACGTATTTAAGACGAGATGTACAGACGGGGAGCTGCATAACCGAAGAAGATGTTTGGGTGTATAGGCAGGCTTTGGGTGTACAGCCAGTTGTAAAACAAATCGATACACTCGCTGCGGAGTTTCCAGCTCAAACAAATTATCTTTATTTGACTTACTGCGGCGAAGAGAATGACGTGCAGCCTCTGCACAAAACTGAACCCACACCCTGTAAACCCTAAACCCTAAACCCTAAACCCTCAGGACAGCGACGAAAGCACTCATCCCGCTTCTTTCTTCTGCTGATAGAGCTTGTTCCACTCCACCTTCAAGAGCTTGCGTTTAAGGTTTAGGGTTTAGGGTTTAGGGTTTAGGGTTTAGGGTTTAATGGGGGTCATTGGGTGTACACACGGTTGGCGCTCTTGCAGCAGAAGGGCGCTTACAAAGAGGGTGCTGGGCGTGGGGTGTCTGCTGCTGTTGTTTTTTTTATATCTGTCTCCTTTCGTTGTTGCTGATGTGTCTGTCTTCTTGTGCTGCTGACTGTCTCCTTTTGCTGTCTCTTTGCAGCGTCTACGCCTTGGGCTGGCAGCGAGACGGGGACTCCGCGGGGCAGGAATATGTGGCAGCAGCAGCAGCAGCAGCAGAAGCAGCAGCAGCAGAAGCAGCAGAAGCAAGACTGGGAGTGGAGATCGTCCCCTTACATTATCCCGCAGCCGGGGTCTATCCTCAGCAGTCTCTGCAGCTCACGAGAAGCAGCAGCTTCAAAAAAAGCTGAGCCAACGCCTATCTCCGACTGCTACGTCGTCCTTGGTCAGCCAATGAAGACACAGAAGCAGCTGCTGCTGCTGCACCTGCTGCTGTTGCACTTGCTGCTGTGGCTGCACTTGCTGCTGTTCCTGCATTTGCTACTGTTGCTGCTCTTGCTGTACTTGCTACTGTTGCTGCACGTGCCGCTGCTGCACTTACTGCTGTAGGAGCACCTGGTGTTTGTAATGCATTTGCGGCTGCTA